CGTGCCAGGTACAGGGTCTGCTGGCTGGGTGCTGGCAGGCTTGCACCTGGCATGGGCACCGTAGCCAGCCCGTGCCCCTTTAAGGGCTCCGGGGCCGGGAGGGGTCAGAAGAGTTTCTCTGGTGGTGCCCAGAGTGGCCACCAGGGAAAGCTGGGGAGGGCTAGCCTCCCACTAGTTCAAATTAAGTGGCTACACAGCCCTTAATTCGAACTAGTTAATTCGAACTAGGCGTTAGTCCTCGTGGAATGAGGTTTACCTAGTTCGGATTAAGCGCTCCTCTAGGTCGATTTAAGTTCGAACTAGCAGTTTGCTAGTGTAGCGCCTATCAAAGTTAATTCGAACTAATGTCTGTTAATTCGAATTAACTTTGTAGTGTAGACATAGCCTGAGAGAGAAAAAACAGCCACGAACATAAAAAATATGCTCATAAACCAGATAGTTATAATTTCAACAAGTACAGAACGACCATATTAGCATAAAAATGCACCATATCCCATTGTTCAACAATAGATTTAGGAGCAGGGAACAGGGTGGGGGGAAGCGAGAAGTGGATTGAAAGCGAAATCACAGATGTTGAAGTATATGGCGGAGAGGACAAAAAAATCATCATGTTATTGCCATCATTACAAAGCAATCTTTGATTGGACTGCCTAAAGTAGAAATGCCCTGCAGCAGCTCCCAGCATTTGAAGGTCTACATTGTTTCTACTTGATAGCAGTCTGTTTGCAAGATTACAATACTAGCTAGTTAGCCTGCAAGAAAACATTTTGGTTAAAAAACTTCCAAAATAAACCAAAAATCCCAAAAGGGAAGCAGATAGTGTGTGCAGAATCTGAGTTCCCTATGCACCTCCTTTCTAGCAACTGAGGCTCTGGCCTTGCCAAAAGAGGATTTTCCTGTACAGGCAGTCCCCGGGTTACGTACAAGATAGGGACTGTAGGTTTGTTCTTAAGTTGAATTTGTACGTAAGTCAGAACTGGCGTCCAGATTCAGCCACTGCTGAAACCGACCAGCAGCTGACTACAGGAAGCCCGAGGCAGAGTTTCTCTGCCCCGGGCTTCCTGGAATCAGCCGCTGGGCAGTTTCAGCAGCACCTCACCTGGGG